CCCCCTAAGGCGGCCTTGAGACAGCTCTTAGAGTTCGGGCTCTTCCACGGCGACCCTCATGCCGGCAACATCTTTGCGATGCGGGACGGCAGGACCGAAGGTTACCGCGAGGTTTACTTGGTGGCTGAGTAGGTAACCCTAAACCCTAAACCCTGAAACCCTAAACCCTGGCAACCTTTAGCCTTTTGGCGTTTATGTAACCCTTCGACCCTTGGGACGAAGGGTCTATCCGAAACCGGAAACCCAAGAACCCTAAACTAGGGTTTAGGGTTTATTAGGGTTTAGGGTTTATCAGGGTTTATTAGGGTGTATTAGGGTTTGTTAGGATTTATTATGGTTTGGTAGGGTTTATTAGGGTTTGTTAGGGTTTATTAGGGTTTATAGGGTTTAGGGTTTATCAGGGTTTATTAGGCTGTATTAGGGTTTGTTAGGGTTTATTATGGTTTGTTAGGGTTTATTAGTGTTTGTTAGGGTTATTAGGGTTTATAGGGTTTAGGGTTTAGGTCTCAGTGTTCAGGAGGCCCAGACCCTACACCCTAAACCCTAATATAGGGGCCTTGGCAATGACCATGGCTGCGATTCGCAGGCAACGAAACCGCTAATAAATCTTACAATCCATGTTACACTACCGCTACGCATTGCAGCAAACCCTAAACCCTAAACTCGCCTGGCTCCCTGATCACGGTTTATATAGGCGGTTGTCAGGTTTAGGGTTTAGGGTTTAGGGGTTTAGGGGTGTAGGGTGTAGGGTTAGGGTTTAGGGTTTAGGGTTGTCAATATTAAGGGTCCCTTCTTGGGTCCTCATTATAATCCGGCACCTAATATTTAGGGTACCCAAAAATGGATCCTAATTTTGACAACCACCCATATAAGGTTCAAGGAATCAGGGTTTTGGGGTGTACTTAAAGGTTCACGGGACTTAGTAACTATGCTTAAAAACAAGGTAACTATGCTTATACTTGGTTATAGCCCCAGTTAAGGTACTTACAACTGTGCATGCTAGGTCCCATGAACCTCCAAGTAGACCGTAAACCCTAAACCCTATAGATCCCTTTAAGGAACCCATCGATCCCTTTAAGGAACCCTATGGATCCTTTTAAGAGAACCCTGTAGATCCCTTTAAGGAACCCTATAGATCCCTTTAAGGAACCCTGGGAACCTCAACAACAACTTCAGAGAGCTCAGAGACTCCCGGGGACTCCTAGGGTTTCTTTAAAGGGATCTACGTAGGGTTCCTTGAAGGGTTGCTACAAAGCATCTATAGGGTTCAGGGTTTATGGGACTCACCCTAAACCCTAAACCCCTAAACCCTAAACCCCACTATTCCTTAATTCAGGAATATTCCTTACATCATTATAGGGCTCCTACTATAATTTAAGGTACATTCCTTCATGAAGGGATCCTGGAGTAACGAATTCTTCTGCAAACCGTGGCCTTTCGAGAACCCTAAGCTCTAAAATCTTAACCCTTCAACCTTAACCTACCAAAACCTACTTTTGAAAATTTCATATTGAGGTTTTACTAAGAACCTACCAAGAAAAAGTAAGGTTTGGCAGGTTAAGGTAAATCTTGAACCCTTAAGTCCTAAATCCTAAGAGTACCTCCGTGTAGACCCCTTATAGATCCCTTAAAGGAACCCCTAAGGATCCCTTTACAGCCCAGGAAACCCTATATGTAAAAGCCCCCCGTGTTAGGGCCGTTGAGGGACACCGGGCCTGCAATTCTGAGCCTTACACTCACAACCAGGACCCCCCCAATGGCTATAGTCTCCTTAGGAATTATATTGTATCGCTGTTCATATAAAACCTAAGAAAATATGTTAAACAAATTGTTTTTATTATGGTTCTAAGTGGGGTATAGAAGGCCCTTTGATGGAGCCCTTATGGTCGGTAATAGCGGGTATTTGGGGTATATTCGAGTGCATGGTATGTTAGAGGGTAGTTGGGGGGTCTTTAAGAAAGTCAGGTAGCTTTAACTCCATAAAACGCTGCTAACAACCTTGGTGAAAGTTTGGAAAACTTGAAAACCCCAATAAAGTCCACAACCCTAACAACGGTTAGAAGCCCTAATAAGGCCATACAAAACTAACAATTCGGTTTAGGGTTTAGGGGTTTGGGATTTAGGGTTTACGATTTAGGGGTTTAGGGTTTAGGGATGCAGTCACCCGCGCAGGATCGCTTACGTCGACTTCGGCAATGTGGCGAACATCACAGAGAGCCAGCGTGATGTTCCGGCCTGAGACATGGGCGTTACTTGGAGGTTCGGGGGACTTAGTAAGTAGGTAGTAAGTAGACTTATAAGTACCTTAAAAGGGACCCTAATTGGGGTTATAGTACTTAAAAGTCCCGAAAATAACCAGTTACTAAGTCCCCCGACCCTCCAAGTATCCACGAGAACCCAGAGGCTCCTGTAAGGGATCCATAGAGGTTCCTTCAAAGGGATCTACCTCGGGTTCCTTTGAGGGGTCTACAAGCGATCTATAGGGTTTAGGGTTTGTGTCAGTGCCGCGCCCCGACCCCGTGCCCGCCGGGCCGCTCCAGTGCCGCGGATCCCACCCCAGCCACCCGAAGTAACTTTTATCACGAGTTTAGAACATTTTCAATTTGCTGCACCACTTCGGTCAGTCACAAGCGCGCGGTGTAGTAATCTGAGCACAAGGCGCGAACCGCAAGCGCCTCCGTCCCGCAAGTAAGAATCCCAGCCGTAAAGCTCGCCCCATTCCGCAAGCGCCCGCGTTCTGTAATGAGAAGAGTCCCGTGCCAGGAAGTTCGTCACCAGGCTTGTCCTGCAAGCGCCGCTGTCCTCTATTTAAGACCGTAAGGAGACGCGTTCTGTCCGGCAAGCACCGTCGCCTCTGTCCGTAATTAAGAGTGTCGCAAGTATAGTATGCGCCTCCGTCCCAAAATTAAAGAGTGCCGTAAAGAGGCGAGTCTCGTAAGCCAGCAAGCACCTCCGTCCTGCATTGAGCGTCGCTCCGTAATGGAAATCGCGTGAAGAGGCTCGTCCCGTGAGCGCCTCCGCTCCCGTCACGTACAATTCAGGGTCCTGTGTAATGAGGCTCGTCCGGCAAGCTTCGTCCCGTAATAAGAGTCCCGTAAGGACGCTTGTCCCGTATTCTCCCGTAACGCCTCCGTCGCGCAATTAAGAGTTAACTTAGGGGTACTTAGAAATAATTTTTAATTTTCGGTTATTATAATCCCTAAGAAACAGCTAAAATTATAATTTTTGCCAGGGTTCCAAGTTTACTATAGTTAAATGAGGAGGCTCGTCGCAGGCTCCTCTTAAGGAAGCTCTTGCCGGAAGCGCTTCCGCCTGAAATTAAGAGTCCAGTAAGGAAGCTCGTCCCGTCAGCGCCGCCGTCCCAGAATTAAGCAGTCACGTCAGGAGATTGTCCCGTATATATAAGCCCGTCCCATGTGACGCCTCCCTCGCGTAATGAAGAGTCCCGTGAGGAAGCTCGTCCCAGAAGCGCCTCCGTCCCCGCCTTGCGCAGGGGGGCTCGCCCCGTAAGCGTTTCCGTCATGCAATAGCGAGTCTCGTCGGTCCATACTCGAAAACAAGAGGTCCTGCAAGAGGCTCGGTCCGTCAGCGACACCCCGTACATTCCGAGACCAGATGACATCCCAGTGGGGCAGCTCACCCCCCAAAGGCTCATGGAGAACCCTGCATCGTGTGCACGGGGCGTAATCCGAGTTCTGGGTTCCTGGGCCTGGGCAAGGCTGACACGCTCTCGGACCGCTCGATCCCAGGAGCCAGCCACGCGTGCATACTCAACATATCTGCACGACTCTGAACGCAGGAACCACAGAATACTAGTATCAATATTAGTACTAGTGGTAGGCTTAAGTCGTCCCATCTTGTGTAAAGTCGTCTCGCGCGGGCGTGCACATGGGGATAACGCATACAAGCGCGTAAGAACAGTTAGTTGGAAGTCATCTCACCCCGGCAAGCACATGGGATTGCGATGTAAAGCGTGGGAGTACGTTGTGTGGCGACATTGAAAACCCAACTAAAACGCCAAGCCCTACTCCAGATATTCATGGATGTGGTTCTCAAAAGTCGTTTTGCGCGAGCGTGCACATGGAATTCCGCAACCGCCACAGTCGTACGCCGACCGCATCCGCCAACTTCGCGCGGGTCCGTCAACGTCGTCCGCAAAGGTCCCGCCAGAGGGGTGCGCCAGCCGTCCCCACCAAAGTCGCGTGCCGTCCCCGCCCGAGTCGCGCGCACAATAGCCAATTTTACTATTGTGCACCATGGCTAGCAGTGCTAAGTGAGGTGTGGCAGACTCGATCTGCTTTCCCCGCCAGATGTGTCTACCAAGCTCTTTTTTTGCCATTTGCTGGCTGTGGCAGTGTGACACACCCTGTAACATAATTAATTGGCATATAATGCAAAGAATGAGTCTTGTGTCAGCACCTCGTAAAGACTTTCCTCGCTTAGAAGCCTCCAGGAGAATGCACAGTCAGATATCTTCTTTTGTCCAGAGTGCAGAAGCCCTTGTGCGGTTGTCTGCACTGTGCAGTGTGCAGGCAGGCATATTTGAAACATGTCGGAAGGTCGATTTCGCACCGGTAGTTGTATGTGGGGAGGGTAGAAAACCACTGCTGTTCCGCAGTGGACGGCTCAGAGATGCAGTGCAACTGTTTCGCCAGAAGTGCTATGCCGCGGAAGCAGAACTCTTGGGCACAGCACGAACTCGTGCTTCTGGACAGCTTCTGGTAGGGACTCCAGTGTGAAGAGGGCTCTGCAGGCGCACCCTTCGTACGGAAGCAGCAGACTTTCGACGAAAGCAGGTGGAGCAAGACCTGCACAGGCCTGTACCCAAGCTCGCTGACCGCCGTGCTGAACGGAAAGCGTGCGGGAGTGCCGGCGGCCGCAGCAAAGGATGTTCAGCTTTTCGGCCGGTGCATTGGCAGACTAGGCTCACACAAGCATGAACACAGCACCCGATTTTCCAATATCCCTTAATAGGAGGATCAGAGGAAGCTTTAGGCAGGATGCAGATGCGCAAGCTAGTCGCATTCGCTTCGCGCAAACTAAGGCTCACGCCGCAGAAGCGAGCGGAGGCGATCGAGCGGCTGGGGGTTTACCTCGTCTACCACCGTTCGCCCGGCGGGGCATTGGACGGGCAAGACCCAGTGAGCGATGTCGACTTCGGTGGGGAGGAAGTGACTGCAGACGCCGGTCCGACTAGCGCGACAGCTGTGTCGCCCTGCTTAAAGCGCCGGCGGCTAGACCAGAAGACCCCTCCCACGAGGTTCGTGCCCACAAACGCGCTGGCGGTGGTCCCTGAGAAAACGGAGCCAACGCACTTGAGCCGCAGCCTGCAAGTGGACATCTTCTGCGTGAACTTCGGGACTCGAGCCCGCAAGCCAGAGTGGCTGGTGCCCCTCGCAATTGAGGGCATCGCCACCACGGAGCGGCCGTGCCTGCGTGCACTCTGTGGGAACGAGAAGGGTAACGTCTACTTCGCCTCGAAGCTTTTGTCCGACAGTTTGGCAGCAATGCTAGTGTTGCAGGCATCAGCGAGCATACAGGAAGCATAGAGTCGGCTGCCTCTACTGCTCCCCCCCAGCAGACATCAGGCTTTTCCGCGCAACCTTGCAGTCACTCTGGTGGAAGACGTCTACAGCGGTGAGGACGCAACCACAGACGGTGCGTCGGACATTGGCTGGCGGGAGGCTGTACGCTTGAACTTGCTCGGCATTTCTTCGGACAGGAAGCACCTGCTTTACTCGCCAGTGCAGTTTCGAGGCTTCTTCCGGCTTCCCCCTTACGGGAAGGTCCCGTAGGGGGGCCCCCAAAGACGCCTGGGGGGGCCCGCCGGGGTCGCGCGCTAGGGGTTAAGGGTAACTCCATTATATACTGTGCCCCATGGCTATTGCCAAATCAGGTATGCCAGACTCGATCTGCTTGGCAAAGCAGGCAGATCTCGAAGCGGTAGCGTTCAGTAGTACCGGCCGCCGCCTGGCGTGGGCGGCCTATGATTGACGGACTCCAAGATCCCTTAAAAGAGAATATATCGTAAATTATATTAAGACCCCCCAAAAAATGTAAGGAAACCATATTCCTCAATTAAGGCATATATTGGAGCCTTTGGAAACAGTGTTCAGTTTGGGGTTTATCTCGGCTTTTGGAGTTTGGGTGCAGGATTTCGGGTTCGAAAAGGCCAGGGTGTTATGAGTGTTGAGAGGCGTTTTGTGAAGGAAGGGTGTGCGATGAGTCATCAGGGTTCGATAGAGCTTCATAAGTTCACATAAGGGTTGCCAATCCTTAATACTAAACCCTGATACCCTAAGTCCACATCCTGTGGGTTGAGGAAATGAGATGCAGGGTTTTGGGACGATGAAGTTGCGGGTCCAGATTTTAAGGTTTCAGACTGTGGGGTTTAGGTGTTTTAAACGATTTCAGGGTTTGGGGTCTGGCTGTTTTCGGCTTCGGAATTAGGATGCAGGGTTCGCTTTGGAAACCTGAATCCCAAACGCTGAATCTGAAACCAAAACCCCAAACCCTGAAATCTAAATCCCCCAAAACCTTGAATCCTAAATCCTAAACCGTAACTATTTTCAGGAGCATGAAGGTTGGGGGCTTTCAGGGCTTAGGGTGTAGCTCACAGGGTTCAGCGATATCCGACATCGAGAGCCCGGTTCAGCGTTTCGGGTTTAGGGCATCCGGCGGGGTTCTAAGTTCGGGGTTTACAGGGCGAGCCCCAAACCCTCGCAGATCGAAGCCACAAAGTTGCGAAGTCTCGAAGCCCCGAGCCGCTCGTGACAACGGTGATGAGCGTGATGTGTAGACACACAGAAAAGCTGTAAGTACAATTGCCAGCTTTTTGCTTTTGTCTTGGGGTTGGCTGGGTGGCTGGGTGGCTGGTTTGGCTGGTGTAATGACGTCCGGTCTGTTCAGATTATTGCATTTGGTTCTTTGCATGGTGATGGTCATGTCATGTTGTCTTCATGACGGCGGCAGTACTGGTGTCATGCTCAGTGAATCTGGTAGTCTTGTTGGAGATGGTTTCGCACTTTCACTTACCTACCTTGAACCTTGTTTCGTGTGGCAGGCGTAGTAATTTCAGGCTGTTTTCAGTCCGCAACTTCCCGGCAAAGAGCCTCGCATGGACGCATGCGCGACTAGTGTGTCCACAACTCGAGTTTTAGGCGTTGCCGAAACCCCGACGCAGAACAACAGCATGCCATCAATAGATTCAAAATGGTATCTTGTTTCGTGTGGCAGGCGTGGTACTTTCGGCATAAACGTTTCTTTCAAATTGTTCAACAAGTCCCCATAGGGATGTTTAGGGTTTAGGGGGTTTAGGGTTTAGAGTCTAGGGTTTAGATTTCCCGGTTTAGGGTTAAAGGTTAAGTTTAATTTAGGGCTAAGATTCCCAGCTGAACAATGTCAAAGGCTTGAGCTTGCAGCCGCAAAGCATAAACCTTAAACCCTGAACTCGAATCCTAAACTCTACTTAGAGGTTCATGGGACTTACTAATTAGGGTTGTAATTAAGGTAATTTCACTTATATGTACTTATAATCCAAATTAGGGTACTTATAGCTGTACTTACTAAGTCGCATGAACCTCCAAGTAAACCCACGTCTATGAGCCACTGTCGGCTGGCAGGCTCCATCGAAAAGTCCGCCACCATAGGCTAGAAGAAAGCCTAAAAGCCCTGAGACCTTAAAACGGTTTAGGGTTTAGGGTTTAGGGGTTTAGGGTTTAGGTGAAAGCCCTGAAACCTCAAGCCCTACACGAGGTTCTCATCGGTGCCATCACCCATGTCTCGAACTCCGACTACCAGGAGAGGGCTCACGGGTCTAGTAGGTTTTGGGGTAATACAGGGGCACTAATCACCAGAATAGGGTTTTGGGTCATGTTATAGCCTAGTATAACACGGTTTTAGCGAACCACCCCCTAACCCTATACCCTAAACCCCTAAAAACCCCTAAACCCCTGAAGCCCCTGAAACCCCTAAACCCCTAAAACCACACTGAAACCCCTAAACATCCTAAACCCCTACACCCCTAAAGCCCCTCAACCCCCAAATGCTACCCAGAGAGCCCAATACCTCTTTAGCAATATAGCTTAAATCAGAATATGAAGCCCTATATAATTTAGACCATATTCCTTAGTTAAGGGTTAAACCCTAAACCCTAAACCCTAAACCCCCAAACCTTAGGGTAAAAGCCCGAGGAGATCGCCAACGACTTCATCCGCCTCGGCTTCCTTCGCCCCGGCACCGACGTCTCGGAGATCGTCCCAGCCATGGAGACGATCTGGGCCGCCCGGGGGCCTAGCGTTTAGGGTTTAGGGTTAGGGTTTTGAGATTTATAAGAGCTCCTCTAACAGATCTATAGGGTTAGGGTTTAGGGCCCGGGGGCCTAGGTTTTAGGGTTCCTTTAAAAGGGTTCTATAGAGGGTTCTTAGATCCCCAATACCTAACCTTTAAACTTTCTGGGTTCTTATAGTCTAGGTAGCAGCGTTTAGGGTTTAGGGTTAGGGTTTTGAGTACGCAGAGACTCCCCTCTAAGTTAAGGGATTTATAAGAGTTCCTCTAATAGATCTATAGGGTTAGGGTTTAGGGTACCCAGAGACTCCGATATCCCCTAGTTAAGGAATGTACCGTAAGTCATATCAGGGATCCTGCTACAATTTCAGGAAGACTCCTTACAGTAGGAGCCAGAAAGTTGGAATATCATTATCCTAATCCCTTTAAGGTAAAATACAGGGGATCCTGCCATTATTCCATATTCCAACTTTCTGGAGTTCCCTTTAGTTAAGGGATATTGGAGTCTTTGGCTTCACGGGCCTCTTTAAGGGTTCCTTGAAGGGATGTTTTTGGGGTCTATGAGGGATTCTAAGGTTTAGGGTTTACGGTTTCAGGGTTCAGGGCGTAGGGTTTGGAATTAGGCCCTTTAAGGGTTCCTTCGAGGGCCCCTATCAGAAGTATACTTCGTATTGTGAAATAACTATTATGAATCGGGTTTCTTTGGGTATTCTTGAAGGGCTTCGTTAAGGGTTTCTTGAAGGGTTGTTGTACATATGTACATGTACATATGCACAGGTATGTTTACACGTACACAGACGTTATATACACATAAACTCATCTGCATATTTACGGAGAAATATGAACACTTTGTAAATGGATAGAAAGATAGATTGGTATGTACATGGATGGATGGATGGATGGATGCATGGATGGATGGATGGATGGACACGTTTTTTAGAGAAGTATCTTCATGTATTGTCCCCTTCTGCCTTAAACCTCGGTCTAGGTTTTTTGGAGTGACGGGTGGAAGGCCGCACGCCCTTCACCCGCAACCACGCAACACACAAAACGAATGATTTCCGCCCTGCAAGCTAAACCGGTAGCCGAAAAGACCTACCTTTTTCAGGAGCTGTACATAGAAACCATAATACGGAACCCTAAAAAGGCAGGCCCTTTGGGCTACAGGAAGTGCCTGCAACCCGACAGCCTGACATAATGAGGACTCCATGGGCAAGTCCATCCGGGACTTCAATTTTCGCACAGTCGTTGGCTCAGAACGTGGACAGGTGTGGGCTTGTCTCAGTTTCTCTGCTTTTTTTTCGAGCATTCTCACCCACTCTTGTTGAACTGGTCGTAATGTATAGGTAGAGCAATACAAGCAAGCTCCTATTGGTACATCTGTGCCTGCTGTTTATCCAATACAGGGGCTTGAGGAATTTGTCGCAGCCTTATTCTAATTATTAGGGCCCTTACAGTAAACTCCAGAACACCAAATGTAGGAAGCCTAATATAGAACCCTGCAAAGTGACCATTAAGAAGCGGCACTATTAAAGTTCTGAAGGCCCCTTCGCTACTTCTGTTCCTGTTTGGACTTTTGGGTCTTTCGTGACTGATTTTGGGTCTTCTTTACGCCGAACTAGCCCTGCTTTAGGGTTGTGGGTTGTGTGTTCAGGGTTTCGGGGTTGGGTTTTGGGGTTTAGTTATTTGGGTTTGGGGGCGGTTTAGGGTTTAAGCATGTGGGTTTGTTAGGGTTTCGCAGCCTTGAGCTTCTTTCTCCCTTCGGCTGTGGCAACCTGGGACGCCGCAGCTTTGAGGGCTTCAGCTTTCTGTTTGAAGGTAGTTTAGGGTTTAAAGTTTACTGAAGGCTTTTTATGGCTTTTAAAAGGTTTTAGGGTGCATGGTTTTTAGGGTTCATGGTTTTGGGTTTAGGCTTTTAGGGTTGGGGGTTTCAGGTTTCTGTGGTCTTTTGGGTTCTAGGGGTCCAGGGTCCCCCCGTTCAAGGAAGCTACACGGGAAGGATCATGGGACTTAGAAGCATTTATGAGTTTAGGTACCTGAGTCATAACCTTAGTTACTAAGTCCCATGATTCTTTAAGCAGAGGGTCAAGGTTATTGTTTACTGTTCAGGGTTTAGGGCACAGTATATCGAGGTCGGAATAATGACCAACATTATGGTCGCATGTTCGTTACTAGCAGTACATTATATGATACCCCCGAAATACTGTTCTGATTATGCAGGCCCCTAAGGTAAAAGCCAGAAAGTTGGAATATGATTATCCTAACCCTTCTATGGTAAATTATAGGGTATCCTACCATATTCCAACTTTCTGGAGTTCCCTGTAAACTTTAGCAGGATTCATTCTGTGCGACTTGGTGTTGGGGCGGAAAGATCCGGGCAGATGCCGGCGGTATTTCAGGCCGGTTTAGAGTTTTAGTAAAGTAGATCTCCGAATTTGGGGGTCGGGTTTAAAGATTTGGGGTTTAGGGCTTATATGGGGAGGATCGAAAAAGAAGATACCTAATTTGGGATTCGGTGCTGATAAAGGGTACTTTACAGGAATCCCTTGAGGGATCTACTCTGCGGATCCTCCCAGGGGTCTGGGTAGTTTAGGAGCCAGAATCATTTCCTATACTGTTTTGTTTTAGGGTTTAGGGTTTAGGGTTTAATATGTCTGTAGTATAATCTTCCCCACAACCCCATTAAAATTATTAAGGCCCCTATATAGCAAAGATCCTCCCCTGATGATCCGTAAACGCTCGTGCTATATGATATGTCAAAATCATGTTCGAGCTGTTCTAGCCCGTACAGACAGCATTTTGGGACTGGATCACTGCACGAACTTTCAATATCTCAACCTCACATCGTAAACCTTAGACCCTAAACCCTAAAACTCTATACAACCTTAGAAACTCCGTTAAACTCTAAACCCGCAAAGCCACAAAGCCTCAAAACCCCCAAAACCCAAAAGCTTGAACCCACAACCCCTGAACCCAGGAATCCCTCCGGAGCGACCCTCATGAGTTTTTGAGGCAGTAGAAGAAGCACTTTGCTTAAGGAGTGGGGTTTAGGGTTTAGGCGGTCTGTGTACCTGAAACTTCTCTAGGTGTTTCAGTTTTCGGTATGTACATCCCTTGAGTGAGGGGGTTTCCGGGTACATCAAGTCTTGACGTAGTAGAAGATAATAGAGCTCCGAAGCCCTAAACCCTGAAGCCTAAACCCCTGGACCTTAAAACCCTTCCCTGAAACCAACCCCTAAAGCCTAAAGCCTAAACCTCAACCCTTGAGCGCGAAACCTCAAACCAGTGTAGGGCTGCGCTCAGGTCACGGCACGTTTTTCGAAGCTTGTCTATCAGTTCCCTATCCGAATTCCGGAGAGGCTGGGCGTGAAAGGGCTTACCTGTAGCCGAAAAGACGTAGCTTTTTCAGGTATAGAAACCATAATAAAGAACCCTGAAAAGGTAGGTCTTTTCGGCTACAGGTAATGGTTTTGGGGTATTCTAAAGTTTTTAGAGTCTTTCAAGAACTACATGGCTGTGCCGCGGTTTGGGGTTTAGGGTTTAGGCAGAGTAATGAAGCGCCTAGGAATCGTATCCTAAACCCCAAACCCACAAGCCCCAAATCCTCAACCCCAAAGCCTTGACCTTTAAAGCCCCAAGCACTACAGCCTGCCGAGACGCTTCAACGACAGCTACAGACCTTCCAGAATCTGTTAATGGAGGAACATACCTTAAATCATATTACGTGTCCTACCGAGTTTTGAGGTATTTCCTTAATTAAGGGATTAAGGGGTATCTCGGTAAAGACCTTAAGCACCACTAGTAACAACTATACTGGTGCGCCTTAGGATTCCTCTTCATACTTATTGTATCATAGACCTCAATATCTAAAGTCTTTTCATGCTTCTTGCCGCGCTGGGTTCTCACTAAGTTTCGGCATAGCCACGATGACCAGCTGTCATCACTAGCGCCACCACTGTGAGAAACGCAAACAGAGAAACGGGGCTGGTGGCGCAAGAAATGGAAAGGCCGAAAAGCCGAAGCCCTGGACCCCCTAGCCTCAGCCCTCAAGCCCGAAGCCCTGGACCCTAAACCCAAAACCAGACTTGGAGGTTCATGGGACTTAGTAAGTACAGTTTTAAGTATCCTAATTGGGATTATAAGTACATACAAGTGTAGTTAGTTACCTTAATCATAACCCTAGATACTAAGTTCCATGAAACTCTAAGCAAGACTCCCCCAACTTTGGCTGTCAGGTTTTCGCTGGTCTTTCGCTCCTTGCTGATGCAAGAGGGCATCTGTCTGTGCTGGGCTTGGGCTGTACCCTAAACCTACACCTACACCCTAAGCCCCAAACCCAAAACCCTTCAACCGGCTTATACACAATTCCTTCGGAGGGTTTCTTCTGATAAACCTAGTAAAATGTGCCCGAAATTAGTATTCTGATTATGTATGTCAAGACCCTATTACGGCCCTTCACCCCTTATGAAGCCCTTTACGAGGCTCTTAAAAGGAACCTTAAACCCCTAAACCCTAAATCCCTGAATCCTAAGTCCCTTAACCCTAAACCCTGAAAAGGAATCTGTTAAAAAGGAACTAGCAAAGCCTCAACATTATGCTGAAGGGCTCCGGCCGCTTGGACTTTGTCGCGGCTGGAGAGATACGGCCGAATCGCTTTAGGCTGAAGACTTCCCTTTAAAGGCGATCCTACTATCGAACCCTGTAGTACCCTTAGAGGGCACCCGTTTCTGGAACCCTATACAAACCCTAAACCGTGAAACCCGAAACCCGGATAAGTGAGAAGCCCTGTGTGTTGACATAGGTTGCAGATACTATTCCCTAAGGGTTCAAAGGACCCAATAACTAGATACTTGGGTTTAGGATTACTATTGGTGGCATGCTGCTCCTAACAGCTCGCCAGCCAGCAGACTTCTCGGCAGCCCTTGCACGGAGAAGATTGGTTGCTGCGCAGGCGGCGGATGAGGAAAACGAAGATGATGTCCTCGCTTTCCTGTGTTGGCTGGTCTGTTGGCTGTTGCAGGGAAAGCTGAGGAAGCTTCGTCGCCAATTGGCAGAGGTGTTACCACAGGGCCACCAGACCGCCACCATGGCTCGCCCGTGTCCGAGGTCAGCGAAAGCGAGAATGAGTCCCGTGCTGACACTTGCGCAGCCCCGACGCATGGAGTTCCACCATCATTGGCGGGGGGGTGACGTCCAGGGAAAACTCCAGCGGATAGATTTCTCATGCTGGCGATCGGGAGCCTGAAGCGATAAGAGTCTTTTCGGCTCCGAGTTCAGAGTTTCAGGTTGAATGTTTACGGTTTCGTGGTTGAGGTTCAGGGTTCCAGGGAACGGTATCACGGGAGCCTTCTATCTTAAGCCCTGAACCAGAAGCCTTCCGAAATCTTACACCCTACACGCTCCTCTTGAACTCGAAAATATCCCAAACTCCTTTCCCTAAGCCATCCTGAATCTCAAATTCAAAACCCTTGTGCCTGCATTTAGGCTTTAGGGTTTTAGGAGTGTTAGAGTTTTTTTGATTTGATAAACTAGGGTCTGCGTTTCGGGGTTTAGGGTTTAGGATTTAGGGGTCTAGGTTGTAAGGCGTAAGATTTGGGGTTCGCATTTTGGTGTGTAGGATTTGGAGCTTAAGTGCAGTCGTTTATTTTTTTGGTTTGGTCGTGCTCGCCCGTGGATGAAGACTGTAAGGCAGCACGAACATACATTTTTCAACAGCCTCGTGGCAGGTCAAGATTATCGCAAGTCGCAGACTTCGTGTTTGACGTGAGGAATTCGCACCGTTATCCCAACCCTAAACCCTAAACCCCTAAACCCTAAACCCTAAACCCTAAACCCTAAACCCTAAACCCTAAACCCCTAAACCCCTAAACCCTAAACCCTAAACCCCTAAACCCCTAAACCCCTAAACCCTAAACCCTAAACCCCTAAACCCTAAACCCCTAAACCCTAAGCCCCCAAACTTGAAACCCTGATCTTCAGAATCCTTGCAGATGCCTCGGCTCCTACTTGGAGGTTCATGGGACTTAGTAACTAGGGTTCCTTTAAGGGTCCCTTTAAAGGGTTTTATAGGGTTCCTTAAGGGGATCTATAGGGTTTAGGGTTGAGGGTCTACTTAGAGGTTCATGGGACTTAGTAACTAGGGTTATAAATAAGGTAACTATACTTATGATTCATAACCCCAGTTAGGGTACTTATAACTGCACTTACTGAGTCCCATGTACCTCCGAGTAGCCAAGAGGTGCCTGAACCCAGACTTCAGCATTCTGGAGGCCACCCTGTGCAGGGCTTCTGCGGCCCGGGGGGGCGTTTCGGGGCTTCGAGGTTTACTAGGGTTTATGGATTCGGGTTTAGGGTATAGGGGCCTAAAAAAGTAACCTATACTGTTTTGTGGGGTTCCTTATTAGAATTATAGTACAATGGGCCCCAAAACCGTAGTAAGATTGATTAGGGCCACTATATCATAGAACTCTATTATAGATCCTTTTGTGGGAACCTTTTAAAGGACACCCCAATTCTAGTTATTAAGCCCCCTATAGATTTTTTAGTTAAGGGGACATTGCAGTCCCTGGGTTTGGGGCTTAGAGACTTAACAAATGGAGCGGTGGTTCGGGTCGGGTTTTTGCAGGGCAAGCGCGGCAAACCCGAAAGCCCACAAGGCAGCCCAGAATCTGAAATGAAACCGTCTTAGTATGAGGGCCTTAATAGTTAGAATAGGGCTTTGGGGATTGTTATAGTATCATGGTAGTTAGGGGCCCCTTCGGAAAATACTCTATATAGTAAGGCCTCGGTCCCAGGCTTGAACTATTCCACTCGTCAGTCTCAAGACATGGGATGAAGCTGGGTAGGATTTAAGTGTGGAGTTTAGGGTCTAGGGTTTAGGATCTAGGGTGTCGGGAACTATAAACCCTAAAAATCCCTAAACCCTAAGCTGGGTAGGGTTTAGGGTTTAATTACTTGGAGGTTCATGGGACTTTGTAAGCACAGTTATAAGCACCTTAACTAGGGTTACAAGCAATCATAAGTATAGTTAACTTATATACAACCCTAGCAACTAAGTCCCATGAACCTGCAAGTAGACCCTAAACCCTAAACCCTATAGATCCCTCTAAGGAACCCTATAGACCCCTTTAAGGAACCTTTTTTATGGAGCCCCTAAAATATTACCCTAGCTATTAAGTCCCATGAACCTCCAAGTAGGGGACTGAGGATCCCTGGTATGAGGAGCCTCATCTGGGATTTCATCACCTACCTTTATCCCATTCCTGGAGCCCTTTGATGCACCCTAATGTTGGAACCTGATTAAGAAACCTTGGGCCTATAAGGGTTTAGGGTTTAGGGTTCTGGGCGTATAACCCCAGAATAGTAAGGTTCACAGAAGGAACCCTAATAAAGGTCCAAGGTTTCTTAATCAGGTCCCTACATTCCATTACACCCAAGATTCTCCAAAGGCCCCAGCCCATAGCCGTAAGCAGGAGTCGAAGCTGGAAGCGGTACTAAGATCTTGTTAGAGAGCCTAAACCCGCCTCAAGGAAAGTGGCGTCGACGGTTTAGGGTTCAGAGCAGGGTTCCCTCATATTCTATGGAAGTTCCTACCTTGAGGGTTTCGGGAGTCTTGGACACTAAAATCTTAAACTCTAAAATCCCAAAAGCCCTGAAGAACTGCTGGGTTACGTTTACCGCCACTGAAGCTTCTGGATAGCCGGCGGCGGTACCCAGACCTTCCCACATCCCTCAAAGAGACTCCAATATAGGGTTCCTAGAAGGGATCCTTAATGGTTCTTTTGAGGGTTGCTAGAAGCGATCTTTAGGGTTTCGGGTCTAGGGGACTCCAGTATCATTCCCTTACTTCAGGAACAGACCTTAAAGTAGGATCCCTACTATGATTTGGGTATATCCCTTGATATACGGATTTTGGAAGATTTGGGAACCCCTCTATGCACCCCAAACCCTAAACCCCCAAACCCCAAACCCTAAACTCCTGAACCCTAAACCCTACACCCTAAACCCTAAACCCTAAACCTTTAACCTTAACCCTGAACCCTAACCCCTAAAACCTAAACCTTAATTAAGGGATTCTGGAAGGTTTTTTTTTATATATCCTTGAAAGGAACCCTTAATACTCCCTCTTGATCCCTTTAACGGAACCCTTAAAACCCCTAAGCAGTAGGATTTTGGAAGATCTGGGCACGTCGCAGGTTGCGCTGCCTTATGCCTCAAAGAGGCTGCTGAGCAATCCCAACCCCAGCCTCAGGCGGAACGGGTTTCCTTACACGGCTCCTTAAATTAAAAGGTTCCCAGAGAGCCCGATACCCTTGAATTAAGGAATAGACCCTAAATACTCAGGGGCTTCATATTCTAATTGAAGCTATATTCCTTAATTAAGGAGGAATAGACCCTAAATTCTAAGGGGCTTCATATGATGATTGAAGCTATATTCCTCAATTAGGGAATATTGGGTTCTCTGGGCTCCTTAAAGGGTTCCTCACAGAGCTCTTGAAAGGGCTCCTGAAAGGGTTTCTTAAGGGTCTGGGGCTTTCATGGCTTTTAGGGTTTTGGTGGTTTAGGGTTTCGGGTTTAGGGTCTTCGGGTTTAGAGGTTTTGGGGTTTAGGGTTTTATGGTTTTTAGGGTTTTGGTGGTTTAGGGTTTAGGGGCTTAGGGTTTAGGGGTTCAGGTGCTTGGGGGTTTGGGGGTTTGGGGCTCAGGCTTCTGGATACTCGCAGGCTGCTCGGGGATTTTTACTTGGAGGTTCATGGGACTTAGTCAGTACAGCTATAAGTACCTTAACTGGGGTTATAAGTAATCATAAGTATAGTTACCTTATTTATAACCCTAGTGACTAAGTCCCATGAACCTCCAAGTAGGGGGTTTTGCAGGATTCTTTTGAGGGCTTTATGCTGCTTTAACGGTTCTGGACTTTTCTGTAAACTTCCCAGAGCCCCGGGAGGATCCAAAAAGTAGATCCCTTAATGGGGGTTCCTATAAAGTACCCTTAGTAGTATAGGACCCCAAATTAGGGGATCTACTTTCTAGATCCTCCCGCGGGTCTGGGTTCGGGGTTGTCGGGGGGTCAGTGAAAGGGCATCCTCAAAGTCCGGCCGGCGAAGCGTCCAGGATTTCAGGCTTTCGGTGTGCGGACATCAACACAAGTGTCTGAACAACGAGAATAACGAGGAATGCCGTCCCCTATTATTATAGTCTTATGTAAATACTACTCGGAAATCCCTCAACAGTGGTTGTCTAAGTTGTGAGCCTGTTACCTTGGAGTCACACGCAGGGGATCCACAAATGTACAGGCAGGGTGTGAGGTTGTGCTTTGCGGTCTAAGGTTTTTTGTTACAGCGAGGTGGGGGTAGAAAGGTACATGCCAACATGGCGTTGGCTGAGTTGGCTGTCTTCCGGGTGTCTATCGATCTGGCTGACATCGAAACCGTTTAAGCAGAGGACTTAAGGATCTTAAGGCACAAAGGCAGGAGCATATAACGCGACCCACTTTAGCCCTAACCCCGAACCCCTAAACCACAAGCTCCAAACCCCTTAGCCCTAAACCCCTTATGCCCTAAACCCCTTAAGCGCTAAACCCTAAACCCCTTCCACCTTGAACCCTAAACCCCTAACCCCTAAGCCCTAAACCCTAAACGGCCCCTATTAGACCCCTTTACAGGAACCGTATAGTACCTCATAGATCCCTTTAAGGGAACCCTTCTAGAATTTTCTAAAGCGCCCCCCTAAACCCCTTAATCCTTCTACCCCAAAACCCTTGAGCCCCAAACCCTCAACCCTAAACCCGGCCTAAACCCTAATTCCTTGTAGATCCCTTTAAGGGAACTGTTGTAGAATCCCTAGCCCGGGCGATTGAGGCGGACCCTAAACCCTAAGCCCCTAAACCCTAAACCCCTAAACCCTTAAACCCCTAAACCCCTAAGCCCTAAACCCCTAAACCCCTAAACAAACCCTAAACAGCCCCTACTTGATCCCTTTAAAGGAGCCGTATAGTACCTTATAGATCCCTTTAAGGGAACCCTTGTAGAATTGTCTAAAGCGCTCTTGAGGCGGACCCTAAACCCTAAACCCTTGAACCCCTAAACCCCTAAACCCCTAAACCCTAAACCCCTAAACCCCTACACCCCTAAACCCCTAAACCCTAACCCCTAAACAAACCCTAAACAGCCCCTACTTGATCCCTTTAAAGGAGCCGTATAGTACCTTATAGATCCCTTTAAGGGAACCCTTGTAGAATTGTCTAAAGCGCTCTTGAGGCGGACCCTAAACCCTAAACCCTTGAACCCCTAAACCCCTAAACCCCTAAACCCTAAACCCCTAAACCCCTACACCCCTAAACCCCTAAACCCTAACCCCTAAACAAACCCTAAACAGCCCCTACTTGATCCCTTTAAAGGAGCCGTATAGTACCTTATAGATCCCTTTAAGGGAACCCTTGTAGAATTGTCTAAAGCGGCGGACCCTAAAGCCTAAACCCCTAAACCCCTGAAACCCCTTAAACCCCTTAACCCTAAACATCCCTAAACCCTTAAACCCTAACCCCTAAGCCTCTTGAGGCGGGAGCTCCTGAGCATCGTCTTCCGGGAAGGGCCCGGGGGCCGGCCGGTGCTTCAGCCGGGGCCTCGCCCGGGGGTTTCGGGTTCCTTTAAGGGATCCTTTAAGGGTTCCTTTATAAGGGTTCCTTTAAGGGATTTAGAGGGCTTAGGGTTTAGGGCTTTTAGGGCTTTTAGGGCTTTTAGGGTTTAGGGTTTAGGGTTTAGGGTTCAGGGTTCAGGGTTTAGGGTTGAGGGCCCCCATTGAGGGCTTTTAGGGTGTAGGGTTTATGGTTCCCAATAAGGGTTCCTTTATAAGGGTTCCTTTATAAGGGTTCCTTTATAAGGGTTCCTTCAAGGGTTACTATAAGGGATCTGTGGGGTTTAGGATTTAGGGTTTTCAGTTCAGGGCCCAGGGTTTAGGGTTTACGGTTTAGGGTTGAAAGAGATCCTTGAAGGGGTCCGGTAAAGGCTCCTATAGGGGATCTATGGGGTTTTGGGGCTCCTTAAGGGTTTAAGACTTAGGGTTTAGGGGTTTATGGTGTAGTGTTTAGGCTGTAGGGCTCCTGACAGGTGCTTTAGGGCTCCTTTGAAGGGATCTATAAGGGTTCTTTTAAGGGCTCTTATAAGGGATCTATAAGGGTTTTGGGTTTTAGGGTTGAAGGGTTTACCTGGGGATCCAAAAACCAACCTACCGTTGTAAGTTGTAAGGGTTCTACTTTCTAAGTAAAGGATCATAGCTATTCTGTACGGTTTGGGGTCACAGGTAGGGTTAAGGGTTTAGAGGTTCACGGTGTAGGGTTTAGGCTCTGGGGTTTAGGTTCGAGGGTTTAGGGGTCTGGGGGGCTTCTAGGATTGCAGAATGTTTCTGATTTTCTTGCGTTTTAAGGGCCGGGTTGTGGTTTTTTCCAGTCATTTGCTTGTAAGTTTTTGAGGGCTTAATCGTGTGTCGTAATGGTTTTTTTGGAGGCTTCACTGACCGGTGATTGAACGTTCATCGACAACCCGTGAAGATGATAGATCTTGAAGGTTTGTTGATGTATTTCATGTCTTTTGGAGTGGTTCAGGTTTTTGATGTTTTTTGGCGAAGGATTTCTTGAGTTTTACTTACAGTTTTAGAAGAGCTCCAGATTCTGGGTTGAGGGTCTTGAGATTCTTGGGTTGAGTGCCTGGGCACCGGAGTTTGCGGAACTAGGTTCGGGGATCTTCATGTTTCAGAACCCTAGATCCTAGACTTCTAGAGCGGAGGGGAGGTATTGCTTTTCTGTAATTATTTCGGAGGGGTTTCGACGGGCCATGACGGCCATTGTTCGGAATGAGAGAGGTCTGTGGCTTTTGGCACGGTTCCCCTGTGTTTTTCAGGTATTTGGGGGTTGGGGTATGGGGCTTTGGAATCCCAAGGTTTTTTGGACTTGAGTGTGAGGCTTCGGGGTTCAGATGGGCTTAGCAATGGGTGACAAGCTGTTCTTTCCAGTGCTGTCCTTGTTGTCATACTGCCTCTGCGTGTGTACGCAGGAGAGTATCTGCAGCTTTCTCTCGCAACTCCAAAGGTCAGTGAAATCCCAAAGCCTTACGACTATCGCATGTTCTGCACAGGAAGATGAGTGTCTGTCCAGCTTTTCCGAAGTCCGGACATACTAGTAGCTCAGACGAACCTTGCTGGGTACGACGGGCACAGCACTTTTGGAGAGACACAAGCCGGGGCAGGAGAGACATGCGAAAAGTGGAGCAGTTCCGGCTTCAACACAATGAAGCGGATGGAGCTCTTCAATCTGACGACCTTGGGATCGCGTTCGAGTTTTATCATTATTGGCTTTGCGTGGGAGGTGCTGAAGTGCATCAAGATAGCAATGGGTTTTATTCGTGTGAGGCAGGCACTGCAAGGTCTCTCACCCATTCCTTTTCAAAGGCTTCAGTTTTGCGCCGCAGCGGAAGACTTTAGCAGCATTGCAATGCCTAGTTACAGTAGGTTTGCTTTTGTTGGTATTGCTTTGTCCGAACCCTAAACCCTAAACCCTAAACCCCTAAACCCAAAAATGTTTTGGTCAACCGCAACTCCACTGCACTTGCCCGTAGGCCATGTGTACCTCTAGCGCCCAGATCTTCCAACATACCACCACCGCAAGCTTTTTGCCCTTCCCAGATCTTCCAGATTTCCCTGAACCAAGCAAGGTACTATGAGGGGATCCTGTCAAGGGCTGCTAAACGAGGCAGTATGGGGTTGAATATAGGGGCCTGTACCGTTAGAACCAAGGAAGATACTATGTAGGGATACCATAATATTCAAGTTATATTCCTCAATTAAGGTATCTCGGAAGACCTGGTTATCTTCCTTGATCTGAGCAATAGGCATCTGCATCGAGGGCCTTAAGGAGATCGGGTCGTGAACCAGTTGAAATCATAAAGCCGAAACTCTAGGCCGTAAACCCCGCTTAACCCTAGGGTTATTCTAAACTCAGTGGTGCGGCTCGCACCAGATAAAGTTTCGTAGCAGGCGGGCGAAAGAAAATCCCACCGAAGTCCTTGCATAAATGTACTAAGATGTCCCCCAAACCTACCCCTTATAGCATCCCTTCATAGGACCGGCCCTTTAGGGGCGTTTATAGGACCCTGTACTTTTGAAGGAGCCCTGTTCTAAAGACCCCTGGCCCTGAAGCCTTGAAATGTAGGGCTTTTTCGTCTACGGTCTAGGGTGCGGGGGGTTAAGGTTTAGGGGTTTAGGGTTTAAGGTGTAGGGTTTTGCGTTTAAGGTTTAGGGGTTTGGATTTTGTGTTTTTCAAGCCCGAAGATCCAAAACCTTAAGCCCCAAACCACCGAAAGCCCAAAACGCATGGTTTGCCCTTGTGCTTCAGGTGGGATCGAGTCACAAACTTGGTCTCCTTGGCGAAGCAGGCTCGATTCTTTGATTTTCTTGGTAAGTGGTTTGGGGTGTGGGGTGTAGGGTTGAGGATCAGGCTTATCGTTTTGTTGAGCTTAGGACGTGTGCAGTATCTTTAGATCTCTGTGTAAGAGGGGAGGTTGGGGATTAGTTTGGGGCAGAGGAATGTCCGAGTTTAGGGTTTGGGGTTTTATTGCTTAGCGTTTAGGGTTTGGGGTCCACGGCCACGGTTTAGGGTGTAGGGTCAGGGTGTCGTTCGTGGCTCTTAAGACTATTACCTCGTACACGGCGCTGTGCCCTGCTCAGATGGGTCTGTTCTACATGTAATTATGAGACCCTGTCCAAGGAATGGAAGATCTGAAAGCCGGTTCCTTGCAGGCATGTGCATCCCCCCCCGCCGCCGCACCCTGTAACGACCATGAACAAGTCTTTTCATTATTCCAAGGCATCCCGCTGTCGGAGGAGAGCCTGGGTACGAAAAAAGTCTACCCGGGCGGCAGCTTTCGAACAATGAAGACGGGCAAGGGCTCCAAATGGTACTCAAGATTGGTGGTCATGCCTCAATCCTCAATCCTATGCTCTCTTTTTGAGAATGTTCACGGCCCCACCCTCGAAAATCCTGGCGGGCAACAGGAGAAAGCTGACCAAACAGACTGTGGAGGAGAAGGCAGAAGTCTGTGCGGTGGCAGTGAGCACGGCCTTGGAGCTTCAGAAGGAGCTCCCGAATTGCAGCCGTGTCCAGGCTGTAACTAGATAGCAGCCGATGCTACACAGAAAAGCTTTCGAAGTCTCTTGGTAGCGCCATCAAAGAATGGAGAATTCCTTGGAAGTCAAGAACTCGAATGAGAAGCTCCGCTTGCGGCCACGTTTGGCTCAGGGTGTAGGGTGGGGGGGGGTTTCAGGCGTTCAACATCCTTTCCCTTCAAGAGGCTTGAACAACGAGTTTTTGAATTTTTTTGAGTGCTCAAAATGTACCCTCGAACCATCAGCCTCTGATGCAAGATCTGCAAACTCTTGAACCCTGGACCCTAAAGCCTAAACACCTTAAAACCCTAACATGCCCTGTGGAGTTAATGACTAGAGAGACGTCAGGCCCAACCATGCGGCTTGAAGCTTACCCTCTTGCGGGGACTTTGCTGGCTGTGCTCTTTTTTTAGAGTGCTAAACCCGGAACGCCCCGAAAGCTCAAACCCTTAAATATTAAAATCTGAACTCCGCGATCCGACACCGTAGCCTACGCCTTCAGCCCGAAGCCCTTCAATCCTCAATGCTCTGCAGCCTTTCAGCCGGTAGCAGTTTACCCGGATAACTCAATGCCATGCTAGAAAACCAGGCCCCGAATTTTTCGCAGTAATTTTTGTAGAAGCCTGATGGAGCTGCTCGAAGTAATCCCTGAACCCTGACTTTAGTGCACCCTAAACCAAAAACCCTAAACCCCATTCGAACTCTTAGGGCCCTAAACCCTAGACTCCTACGCCATTCGCAGGCCCGGGATGGCACGTCGATTCAGTCACTTGCATGACAAAGACAGCGTGCTTTGTTGGAAGGGTTTGGGGCTTAGGCCCTTAAACTATAGGTGGCCTAATATTATGATTTAAGTTGTATTCCTTAGTGAAGGGGTATTGGGATCTCAAGGGGGTTTCGGGGTTTAGGGTTCATTTCTAGTTTTTGCATTGTAGGGTTTTGTACTGATTGTTGGAGTACCGTACTGAATTACGTCTGTTTCGAACCCGGTCCTTGCAGGAGCCATTACGAAACACACGCTTATACTTCTTCTCATTGGTTACTTTGAGGTTCATCGTCCCGTAAAAGGGTCCTGTAAAGCCCCTAGGGCCCTAGAATCTGACTACTAGGGTTTAGGGTTTAGGGCTTTCGACTACTAGGGTTTAATGCTGATCAAGAAACCTTGGGCCTTTACTAGGGTTCCTGAAATGAATCCTACTAATTTGGGGTTCTAGGCCCAGAGTTTCTTAATCCGGCTCCTACGTGAGGGTTTAGGGCTTTCGAACTTTGCATTTTAGGGTGTAGGATTGAGTCTCAGGGGCTTAGGGTGAAAGCATTAGAGTTTAGGTTTAGGGTGTAATAGAGAGCTGTTAAAGTCACTAGTGATAGTATTCCCTTACAGTCCCTATAGTCTTACAGTATAGATTACCCCCAACTGTTAGTAATTAGTAGCCTTCCCTTAGAGTCCCTAGTATGATTCTAGTATAGTATACTCCCAAGCCCAAGACCCAAAACCCACAACCCTACCTAAACGGGTGGTTGTCAAAATTAGGGTCCTTCTTTGGGTCCTTAATATAATACGGCACCTATTATTTCCGGTACCCAAAAGGGGACCCTAGTTTTGACAACCACCCAAATATTTTAAGGCCCTTGTGTTAGGCGCTAAGGGTTTGCAGTGCCGGACTCAGGGCTTGCACTGTGAGGCTAAGAGTTTAAGTTAAGTATTTTAGGGTGTAGTGGTTTGCGCGTTTAGGGGTTTAGGGGTTTGGGGTTGAGGGGTTTAGGGTTTAGTCGGGATTTGGAACTCAAAGTATTTAGAAGACGGTTTTGAGGTAAGATGTTTTTCTGTTCAATATTGAGCTTCTTGCCCTGAGTCCTTCAAACCCTAGACCCTATTCGTCAACCTGCGTACGATTAAGGATTGGTTCCAAGGCCGCCATCTAAAAAGTAGATTCCCTAATGTGGGGTGCCATACTGCTATAGGGTACTTGCGAGGAAACGCATCAAGGGAACCCTCAAACTAGCTCTTAGACCCTCAACGGAACCCTCAAAGGAGCCCTTACATGTATGAAAAGAGCCCTCAAAGGAACCCTCAAAGGAACTCGTAAAGGAACCCTCAAAGGGCCCCTCGAAAAGGAAACTTTAAAGGATCCCTTAAAGGAAGCCTTAAAGGGGAGCCCTAGAGAAACCCATGGCATCCTTTAAACGGACCCTACCCAACCACGACCCAAGCTACAGAACCCTAAAGTACCTTTTTAGGGTTTAGGGTTTAAATTTAGGGTTTAGGATTTAGTCTTTAGGGTTTAGGGTTTAGTCTTTAGGGTTTAGGGTTTAAGGTTCAGGGCTTAGGGTTTAGGGTTTAGTCTTTAGGGTTTAGGGTTTAGGGTTTAAGGTTTAGGGTTTAGGGTTTGGTAACTCCTCGTTGTCGCTATTGTAATCGTCATCGTCTGCGCCATTACAATCGGTATCCCTAGTGTTCTTGCGGCTGGCATCGTGACTGCCGTGCATCCAGAAGCCTGAGAAGCCTTTTTAAAGGCCGATCAAAGCAAACTTATGGAACCCTATCAGACTAAAAACCCTACACCCTATACCTTAAGCCCTACCCCATCAAACCAAACCCATCAGACCCCACGGAAATCTTAAAAAGACCGTAGTGTATGCCCCCGCTTGGCCTTGCAGGCAGAGGTTGGGCGCATGAGGCATGGAGTTTAGGGTTTATGGTTTAGGGGCTCGGCGAAGGCCCGCAGCCAGAGGTCACGGCAATGCGCGAGGCGACCACCCCTCGAAGTCCCAAACCCTAAACCCTAAACCCCAAACCCCGAGAAACCTTTGAACGAGCAGAAGCCAAGGCTTAATGAGGTGATCGTCGACTTCTTTCGTGGGCTGCGGCGCGATGTTCTGTCTGGTGACGCGGCAGGCCTTTCAAGGGCTTCTTTCGTTTAGGGTGTAGGGTTTAGGATTAGTCGAGAGTTTAAAGCTAGAGGACGGTTTAGGGGTTTTGGGTTCTGGAGTTTTAGGGCCTTTCAAGGGTCTCTTTCAGGGTTCTATAAGGGCTATTATACAGGGGTATTATGGGGACGTAGTATAGGGCCTCATAATTCGACGAGGATTCTGCGGTATATCCTAAACCCTAAACGGTATGTTATAGTATGGGTCTGTTAAGGAACCCGAAGGAACAGTATTGGTAATTATGCAGGCTTCTGTACTATGCTTCCTTGCAGCATTTGACAGGGTTTTGCTTTGGTTTTTGGTTTGAGAGGGTTGTGAACAAAAGATCTCATAAGTTTTATAAGCTGTTCTGAAATGGATTTCCAGTGTCGCATAGGGTTTTACAGGGTTTTCTGGCCTTGCAGGGGTTTATTGGGCTCTGTGCGACTTTTCAAGTTGCACAACGGTTGTCCTAAGCCCTAAGCCTTAAACCCTAAAGCTCAAACCTTTCCGTCACATAGAACCCTCAATGACAATGGAATTCGCGGTCAAGTCCCGAAAATTCGCGGGCAACACCAGCAAACTCGCGGGCCTGGCCACTTTTCCAAACGCGGCCTTGCTGTGTAGCGCTTCATAAGACCTTAAACAGATTAAGTAGCTATCATAAACATCAACCCTGAACCCTTCAAGTCCTAATCCCTACAGCTAAAGTCCATATCACCAACATGTAAGCCGTTCTAAACCTTTATAGAACTCCTCCACGAGCCCTTCAAGGAACAAACTGGAAGAAGTTAATATAAAAACTGAATGGTTACTAAGCTTTTTGCAATTAGTATACCATAAAAATGCACCACCTAGAACCATATTCCAATCATCTAGGCCCCTATACTAAACTATCATAATACCCCTTTGAAGTAAGCCTGTGAAGAACCATTTGAAGAAGCCCTTTTCTAGCTGTCAAGGCGCCTGTATTGCATCCTTGTAGTAGACCATTACAGATCCCTTTAGGGAACCCGTTAAAAAGGAGCCTTCTTCGAATCAGTAAGGTGCCTGTATAAAATCCTAAACCTTACACCCTAAACCCTGCCCTAAACTCAAAACCTTAAACCCGAAGCCTTAAACGCTAAAGACCGAAACCCTAAACCCTCAACCCTGAAGCCCTAAACCCCAAAACCTCAACCCTAAAAGCCCTAAACCCTGAAGCCCTAAAGCCCTAAACCCTCAACCCTAAAAGCCCTAAACCCTGAAGCCCTAAACCTAAACCCTCAACCCTGAAGCCCTAAACCCTAAGCCCTAAAGCCCTAAACCCTCAACCCTGAAGCCCTAAAACCCTAGACCCTCAACCCCAAACCCTAAACCCTCAACCCTGAAGCCCTAAACTCTTATAGGAACCCTTAAAGGAACCCTTATAGTTCCCAACAGCCCTAAACTCTTATAGGAACCCTTAAAGGAACCCTTATAGTTCCCAAAAACCCTAAAAGCGGAACCTGCCTCTGCAGGCTTCGCTCCCTCGCAGGCGCCTGGCTTTGAATCAAAGGGCTTCAAGAGGGTTTAGGGCATCCTTTAAAAGGGGTTTATAGGGGTTCATAGGGTTCCTTTAAAAGGGTTCATAGGGTTTGAGGGGTTAGGGTTTCGGGTTTAGGGGTTTAAGTTAAGGGTTTAGGCGTTTAGGGTTTAGGGGTTATGCTTTGGGGTTGCTTAGGGTTCTTGAGGGTTCTTTAGGCTTGTTTTAAGGTTCTTAGGGGTTTAGGTTTAGGGTTCAGGGTGCTAGGGTTTAGGGCCTGGGGTTGTGGGCTTAGGGTGTATCAAGCTGAGGGTTGATCGCTGAGAGCTTGGGTTAGGGTTTAGGGTTTAGGGCCTAGGGTTTAGGGTCTAGGGTTTAGGGTTTAGGGCCTTAATCAACAGAATAGGTTGCTTTAAAGGGGTCCTATACATGTCTGTCTGCGTCTCTCTATCTTTATCCATGTCCTATATCTATAGCTGTATCTATATCTATGTCTATGCCTATATCGATATCGATACCTATATCTATAACACCCCCGGGGGAGGATCTAAAAAGTAGATCCCCTAATTTTGTACCCTGGCTACTAAAGGGTACTTTTTAGGAACCCCCTTAAGGGATCTAGTTTTTGGATAATCGCGGGGGGCGCCGCTGCGGTGGACAAAATCTGGAGGCGCGGCGAGCGATTGTGTCCCGGGGCATTCTCGGTGGCGGTCAGTGTGTGCCTGACGTGTTCTTTACGCCGTGCAGGTCAGAAGCCGATTATAGTGCAACAGAAGTTTCGAAAGCTGCGAATGTGGCTGTGGAGATGCAAACGATCGATGAGGCCTGCCTTGCTTTTATCACACGAGAGCAAGAAGGCCTTTGTGTGCAATTGATCCGTGCAAATGATTTTGTTGATGCTGTTGAATGGGCCGCATGTTGTGGTTCAGTGTGCTGGAAGCTCGTGCACGCTGAAGCTTAAAACTACGGGGCCAGCATTGCTAGCAACAGCACCGGCACCAGCCGGGTGAAGGGCTGCTATAAGGGTTCCTAGACGTCTCAAGGCTGAGAGCTTGGGGTTGCGCCAAGGATTTTGGGAGAGGCCCGAACGGTTTAGGGTTTAGGGATTTGGGGGTTGACTAAACCCTAAACCCTAGTTTAGGGTTTAGGGGATTTTCCCAGACCTCTGCGAGGATCCCAAAAATGGATCCCTTAATAAGGACCCCTAGGTATATACCCTTAACATAGCTATTATATACCCATTATATAGCCCATTATGGGGTAGGGGTCCCCATTAAGGGTCCCTCATTTCCCCCTTTTGTCTGCGAGGATCCAAAAATGGATCCCTTAAGGACTTTCATCTGAACTACACAACAGCAGTCTAAAGTCCCAAAAGCTTGGCGTTCTTCTGGTTGGCTCTAAGGACTTTAACTTTTTGGGTTTCTGTCTGAGCTATAATAAGGAGCCTAAAAGTTTAACTTTTAGGAGGGGTTCAGAAGTCAGCCAAGTAAGGATCATGGGACTTAGTTTAAGGGATCTATAAGGGTACTATGAGGGTTTAGGGTTTAGGGTCTACTTAAAGGGTCATGGGACTTAGTAAATACCTGTGACCCCAAACCCTACAGAATAGCAGGTTGTGACCCCTTAATTAGAGGGTCGAACCCCTAAAAACGGTAGGTTTTTGGATCCCCAGGTACAGTTATAAGTTTGAAGTACTAACCCTAAACCGTTAAATCATCAACCCCCAACCCTAAACCCGAAAGCCCCAAACCCTGAAATCGTACACCTTAAACCATTACCTTAACCCCACGTAACCTACCTTTTTAAAGACTTATACAAAGAAATCATATTAGGGAACCCTAAAATGGTAGGTTCCTTAGGGTCCAGGTATATAAGCTACCAAAAACCCAGTTTAATCGAGTATCTCGAGCAAAGAACTTCGAGGGAAGTAGCGGGGAATGTTAGCCAATCCTTCTTGGTCTCGGGCTATGGTCCTCGAACGATGAACTTAGGGTTTAGGGCTCAAGATTTTAGAGTGTGGGGTAGGGCTTAAGGTTTAGAATGTAGGGTTTGGGTTTTTTTGCTCACGGTGCAGGGTTTAGGGTTTAGTCTTAAGTAATTTAGGGTGTAGGTTTCAGGGTTTAGGTCAAACTGAGTAGAACGAAAAGGAGTCTTGTCAGGATTTGATGCAGAGGGTTGAATGTAGGAGTCTTCAACCCAGCCTGAGCCCTACTTGATGTGCAATCCGTCTTTCAAGGTGAATGGGCTTGGTAGTGCGTTTGGGGTTAGGGTTTGGGGTTTGGCGTTAGGGGCTTGAGGTATTTGGGTTTAAGGGTTACGGGTTTAGGGGTTGGTAGCGAAGACCCTAACCCCTAAGCCCAGAACCGTAAAACCTACACCCTAAACCCTAAACCCTAGCTGCAATCTTTACTCCGCGATCGTCGCGATCAGATGGGTGGTTGTCAAAATTAGGTCCCTTTTTGGGTACCCTAAATAGTAGGTGCCATATTATATTAAGGACCCAAAAAGGGACCCTAAGATTGACAACCGCCCACTTTCAGGTTCGTGTGGCGTAGTGAGTGCTGCTATTGCTATTTAAAACTACCCTAATTGGGGTTTTAAGTATTTGTAAGTTTAAGTGCCTGAGACGGACCCTAGTTACTAAGTCCCGAGAACCTTTAAAGGGAACTCCAGAAAGTTGGAGTATGGTTTCAGGGTAGGATACCCTATAATTTACCATAAAAGGGTTAGGATAATCTACCTTACAGGGGTTACGGTAATGATATTCCAACTTTCTGGCTTCTACTGTAAGTCCCGAGAACCTTTAAGTAAGCCCGAGGGCATGAACTACTAGGGCTTTAGGAAAGGTCTCATGAGGGGTTTGTCTGAAATATGATCAACCCGAATCAACGCGTATAAAGGTTTACTGCTAGGCTTCTTATAGTGGGTCTTGTGGGGCTGTGGCACGAACCTGCAATAGAGAGTTTAGGGTCAAGTATAAGTGTGAAGCTTCACAAGCTGCATCACAAAGCCTGCGGTCTTGCCCGGTATGTATGTGCGCATATATATGTATATGTGGCATAGGTGTATATTAAATATGTACATATATATAACAGATGTATAGCAAGATAGGCTCAGTTTTTGGTGCTTCATTGTATAAGTTGTACACCCGCGACTGCGGGCGTAGGACTTCAGCGACAGCGAGCAAGCAACCGGAAATAGTCAACTCCGTCGGCTACACTTCTGCAGACTCATGGTCCCAACTCAGCTACTTATAACCCTACTTACCTAAACCGTAAACCCTAACCCCTCTACCAAGTTCCATGAACCTCCAAGGACCTTGAACTAAGTCACACAGGTGCTCCGCAGTGGATTGGAGGCGCTCGTGGCTGGAGATCGGCTCCGTCTAAGGGACCCGACAGGGTTTTGAAACTGGGTTCTATGGGTTTTATGGGGTGTCTCATTTTTTTTTTTCGGTTTTATTGGTGTTATTGGGCGTTGCAGGGCTTTTTTTCAAGGCTCTATGGGGGCAGCGCCAAGAAGGTATATTGCATTCCTGAATTAAGGTTGTTTGGAGTCTCTGGGCATGTAGGGTAATTACAATCCTCCACCGCAATTGAAATCCTGCACAAAAAGTAGGTTATGACTCCTTAGTTCCAGGGCACGGCCCGTTGAAACAATAGGTTTTCTAAACCCTAAACCCTGAACCCTCTAACCCGAACCCTTAACAATCCTAAACTCGGAAACTCTGAAGCCAAAGGCCATACACCCGAGGAAATATCGTGAAGAAGCACGAGTAAATGCTCTCTTGGGGTTTGTTGCCGAGCTCACCGCAAACCCTCAACCCTGAACCCCCCCCCGAACCCTAAACTCTACACCCCAAGCTCTTAAGTCCTGAAAGCTTGTAAGGCTCCCCCATAGACCCCCTTTTTTTAAGCACCCTAAGCAAGCCTCAGCAGCCCCAAGCAAGCCCTAAACCCCTAAGCAAGTAAACCCCTAAGGATCCCTATAGATTTGAAGGAACCCTGAACCTTAAACCCTAAACCCTAAACCCTAAACCCTAAACCCTAAACCCTAAACCTTAAAGGTCCCTTTCAAGGAGCCCCTAGCCCTAGCCCTTCGGCCCCTTAAGCCCCTCAGGATCCCTTATCGACCCAGGGTTTAGGGTTCAGGGTTCCAAGGAGCCCTTTAGCTCTAAACCCTAAACCCCAAACCCTGAACCCTAAACCCTGAACCCTGAACCCTAAACCCTCAAGAAAGAAACAAATAGAAGTTGCTTATCGCTGCTGGTGTTGAGCTCCCTAAACCGTCACTTTCAAGCCCAACCCAGCTCCAAACCAGGTTCCAGTCATAAACTTTCCAATTTCAAGTCAGGTTCCAGTTGCAAAACTCTGCAAGATTTCAAAGCAGCCAGCCCAGCCCCAGCCAGCCCTAGCCAGCCCAGCCCCCAGCCCCCCCAGCCCCAGCCCCTTCCGCTCGTCTCAAAATCAAGTTTCAGTCGGAAAACTTTCGGTCAAAACTTGCGGTCAAAACGTTTCGGTCAAAACTTCGGTAAAAACTTATTGGCACCTGGGGCTGGGGGGCTGGGGGGTGGGGCTAGTTTTGGTTTTTGGAATTGATTTTGAAAGCTGGGGGCTGGGGCTGGGGCAGTTGGTTTTGGAACTGATTTAGGGCTGGTGGTTGGGGGTGGGGCTGGTGGAGTTTTGGTTTTTGGGAATTGGTTTGTGGCTGGGCCAGGCAGGAGGCCAGCGAGGGGGCAGGGCTGGGGTTGTGATTTTTGGAACTGATTTTGAAGGCTGGGGTTGGGGAGGGGGCTACAACCCTGGTTTTGGTTTTGGAATTGATTTGGCTGGGGGCTGGGAGGGGCTGGGGGTGGTGGGGCTGAGGGCATGGGTGAGGGAAGGTTTTAGGCTGGCGGTGGCTGGGCTGAGGGCATGGGTGGGGGAAGGTTTTAAAGAAATTAGTTTATCAAGAAGCTTGATCCGTTATTAACCTCCAGCTCAAGGTTGGCCTGGCCGGCGCACAAACTATAGTGAGTTTTGTTTCGCTGGACGTTATTTTGATTTTGGGTTTGGGGTGCTGGGCCGCAGCTGTGGTTACAAACAAAGACAAGCAATTTCTACTTATCACTTTCTTGAGGGTTTAGCCCAGCCCCAACAAATCCAAAATGTGGTTCCAAAAAAGAAAACCTGCTCAAAACGTTTCGCTCAAAACTTTCGGTCAAAACGTTTTTGGCACCCAAACCCTTAACAATTTCTATCAACCCTAAACCGAGCCCCTTAGCCCTCCAGGACGTTCTGGAGTTGGTGGAGCTCCTCAGCCCGGACCTCACGCCCGACCTCGCCCGCGAGGCCGGAGTACTTCTTAAAGCTGGGGTGTAGAGTTTAGGGGTTTCGGGTCTAGGGGTTTTGGGTTTTAGGGTTTAGGGGTCCTAAACCCTAAACCCTAAACCCTAAACCCTAAACCCTAAACCCTAAACCGTTTAGGATTCAGGGTTTGGTAGGGTTTTGGTTTGAGGCTTCTCAGGGTGTAGGGGTGTAGGAGCTGAGGGTTTCGGGTTTAGTAGGGTTTTGCGTAGGGTTTTAGGGTTTAGGGGTTTAGGGGCTTAGGGTTTTGGGAGTTCTCTGAGTTCTATCTGACGAGTGTATGTGCGTATAAGTGAATGGATGAATGTATGTATGCATGCATGCAGCTATGTACATCTATGTATATATATATATATATATATATATATATGAATAAGCACATCAACAAGTGCGCAAAGTGAACAGATAATAAGCGAGTAAAATGAGTATACACATATTTACATAGTCGTTTCGGGCTTGTGTAGGGGCTTGGAGATTGTTTCAACCTCTGTATTCTGGTGGGGCTTCTTTGGGGGTTTTGGAGCAGGTGTTTCGCAGTTTCTCTAGAGGTGTTTGCGAGGACCCTAAACCCTAAACCCTTACACGGTCTTCGGCGCATTCAGGGCCTCATTTCAGGTTTTTAGGGCTCTAGGGTTTAGTGGGTTAAGGGGGCTTAGAGCTTGACAGTTTTAGGGTTGGGGGTTTAGAGGCAGCTTTGCTGGGTTTTGGGTTTAGGGAACCCTGAGGCTCTCAAGCCATAACCCTGCTAGATCCCTAGAACCCGTTTTGGGGTTGAGGGCTTTGGGTTTAGGGTTTAGGGATAGAGCCCTAACAGAACCCAAATATAACCCATGGAACCCCACTAGAAAGCATGACTACCCTGACAAACCTCCTTAATACTAGAACCCTACTAGACATGCTCATAGAACCCTCCCTCACAGCACCCTGAAAGACTTTTCATTGAACTCTAGCAGAAGCCAAATAGAACTTGAACCCTGATAGGCATCGAACCTAAACCCTAAATCCCTAAATCCATAAACCCTTAAACCCTTAAACCCTAAACCCCTACCCCTAAACCCCTAAACCCCCGTAGAACCCCATGTGTCTGACCCTTATAGAACCCATATCGAAGGGTTTAGGGTTTAGGGCTTTGGGTTTAGAGTTTAGGGATTACGGTTTGGGGTTTAGGGTTTACGGTTTAGGGTTTAGGGTTTAAGGTTTAGGGAACCCGACTAGAACCCTGGTAGAACCTTAAAAGAACCTTGACAGAACCCTTATACTAGGTAGTAGGTAGGGCTTTGGGACATTTTGTATTTGCTCTTCTTGGGCTTTGGGGGATCTTACCCATTCATACGTTTTCAAAGGCTTTAGAAACACCTCCTAGTTATAGAACCCTTGTAGGCCAAACCCTGAACCCTGAACCCCTAAGGCCTAAACCCTAAAGCCTAAACCCTAAACCCGTAAGGAGGAACCCTGAGAGAGACCTTAGAGTCCCCCCGTTTAAGGCTAGTGGCCTCCTGGGGGTACAGAGTTTAGGGGTTAGAGTTGAGAGTTTAGGGCGGATTCCGAAAGCCTACACATGTTTCGAGGGTGTTTGGGGTGGGGTAAACTACTCTGGGCATGCTTTTTGTTGAGCTCGGAGTTTAGAGTTAAGCATAGTAGGGGAAGGATAGGTGTGAGCTGCCTTTCTTGTGCGCGTCGCGGTTACATCTCTGCAGTCAGGCTGAGTATCACCACGCAGATGAGTGGCTACTTCTATCACCACGCAGATGAGTGGCTACTTCCATCTCCACCTGAGAGGCTACTCTGATTCTGAACTGGAGCTCTACCTGAGATGGAGTGAGAGGGACTCCGTCTTATCGAGTGTGCAGCTCTCAGTGTGCAGGACGACATGCACTGAGTGTGCAGGAGGACATGAAGCCAACATCCTGGAAGCCTGGCGGCGCTGATCCGCAGGGTCTCTGTTTACGCTCAACCCCAAACCCTTAAACTCCTAAGCCCCTAAACCCTTAAACTCCTAAACCCTTAAACTCCTAAACCCTAAACCCCTAAACCCCTAAACCCTTAAACTCCTAAACCCTAAACCTTAAACCCTAAACCCTAAACCAAGGTTTAGGGTTGCAGCACACATGTCGAATCAGATAGACGGAAAAAGGAGGACATCTAGGATGACAGGAGTCGTGGGTTCGGGGGTTAGGGTTTAAGCTTTCGGGTCTTAGGGTTTAGGGGTTTGGGGGTTAGGGGGTTAGGGTTTTACGGTTTCGGGTCTTAGGGTTTAGGGGTTTAGGGGTTTGGGGGTTAGGGTTTTAGGGTTTTACGGTTTAGGGTTTAGGGTGTTAGGTTTCTAGGGTGTTAGGGTTTAGGGGTTAGGGGTTTGGGGGTGAGGGTTTTAGGGTTTTACGGTTTAGGGTTTAGGGTGTTAGGGTTTAGGGGTTCGGGGTTAGGGTTTTAGGGTTTTACGGTTTAGGGTTTAGGGTTTTAAGGTTTAGGTTTTAGGGGTTGGGGTTTAGGGTCTTAGGGTTTGTGGTCTATGACTAGCTAGGCTGTAAACATCACTAGGCCAGCAGTCTACGCAGGTGACGACGGGAAAATGCCCTCACACCCACAGGCTCCTTACATAACCAGCAACTAAGTATGGCATGGGTACTTTCCTTTCCAATACTTTCTGTTTCCTAAACCCTAAACCCTTACGGGCGACATGTGCCGCAAAAAGGGTTCGAGGCGCAACTGCACGCCGGGCTTAGGGATTGCAAAACCTTTAAGCATCCATGAAGCCCACAAAAAATTGCACTTCTTATATAAAAATCTTCAAGAACCGTTATATTCACTTTACGGCCTTACGGAATACAGAACCGTATGAGGCCATTGTAATTACGCAGGTTCCCATAAACCCCAAACCTTAAACCCCAAGCCCCTTGAAGCCTAAAGCCCTAACTAGAAATCAGACCCTAAAGCCTAAGCCCTAGACCCCTAAACCTCTAAACCCATAAACCCCTAAACCCTAAACCCCCAAACCCTAAACCCCTAAACCCCTAAACCCTAAACCCTAAACCCCCAAACCCCTGAAACCTAAAACCTTAAGCCGCCGAACTTCCGCCTTACTTACCTTCGGTTAGTACGGAATGGAAGAATGGAAGTAATACTGTTGGTGATATAAATCCTGCATTACCTTAAGGACCCTAAACTACGGGAATTATGGTATATTGCTCATTATGGGTCATGCAGGATTTATATCATCAACCGTAGTAGTTACAATTGTACCCCATTCCTCCATTCCCTACTAACCAAAGGTAAGCTTAGAGCCTGCATCCTTTGATCCCGACGAAGCCCTCATAAACGCAAGGTGCAATACATCTTTGTAGACGGTTTAGGGTTTAGGGTTTTTAGGGTTTAGGGTTTAGGATTCAGAGTTTAGGGTGTAGGGTTAAGGGTTCAGAGTTTAGGGATACATGTTTAGGATTTGGGGATCAGGGATCAGGGCCAAGGGTTTAGGGGCTTGTGGTTTAGGGCTTCAAACTTAGGGCCCGACACCCTAAACCCTGAACCCTAGACCTTGAACCCTAGACCTTGAACCCTAGACCCTGAACCCTGAACCCTGTACCTTGAAAACTAAACCCTAGACCCTCAACCCTGAACCTTAAACCCTAAACCCTGAACCCTAGACCCTAAACCCTAAGCATTAAACCTGAAACCATTCCGGATCTGGGATTAGGCCCGCTAGACAGGTGGCGGATGCCCTGATACGGGACTCAGCAGCTGACCCGGCGCTCCTCAAGGGCTTGGGGTTTCATATGGGGGCCTTAATAACTAGGATGCCCAGTAGTACCCTTATTTCCTTTTTGTAGTCCTAGGTTCCTTATAAAGTTACCCAATACCAAAAAGAGAGGCCTTTTTATTCTCAGGTTACTGGGTATCCTAGATAATAATTACCTATACTATCTTGGGGGTTCCTTATTATAACTACAATATAATGTGCCCCAAAACCCTGTTCTAATTATTAAGGCCCCTATCTTAGGAGATCCCAAAGCCCCTTGATGAAGGGATGTATCGGATTTTGTTTATTGAATGATGTTATATAAGGGCTTCTAGGCTCTTCTTGAGGTTTATGGTGGTTTACTAAATGTTTTGGTGGTTGTTAAGGAACAAAGCTTGAACGGGAGGGGTATATTTGTTGGTTGAAGTGATTTGGAGTCTCTGAATCGGGCTGCGTTGGATTTCGGTGGGTCATGTTCTCATTGGCGTCAGAGTTCAGGTCTTTTTTATTGGGGTTGAAAACGTTTCAATACGCTAAGCCCCAAAACCTTCAAGCTTGAACCCTAAAACCCAGATCCTCAACCCTAAAGCCCTAGACCCTAAACCGTAAAACCCAAAGACCTTAAAGACCTAAACCCTGAACCCTAAATCCTTTCGCCCCAGTTTCCTTTTGAACCCCATCCTGTGGATCCAAAAACCTACCGTTTTAAGGGTTCCACCCTCTAATTAAGGGGTCATAACTCACTATTTTGTAGGGTTTGGGGTCACAGGATAGCCCTATAGTGCCCGAAATGGAACACCATAGTTACCAAGTCCCAGGAACCTTTAAGCCTTAAACCTTGTTTGATCCCTTCTAGAACCCTTTAAGGAACCCCTCAACGAACCCTTTAAGCTACCAAATCACATGAACCTTTGAGCAAACACTAAGCCCTCATTCCTTAAAGCGTAAAAGAACCCGTGAAGGGAACCGTATTCTGGAACCGCATAGCACCGAGGGATCCAGTAAACCAGAAACCCGCATCCCTAAACCTTACACGCTGTATTTAAAAGCCCTGTACGTACCCTTTCGATCCCTCTTGATCCCTATAGACCCCTTAAAGGAACCGTAGCAACCTTCAAGAGGAGCTTTTTCAGTCTTCGCCCTAAACCCTAAACCCTGAACCCTAGACCCTAAACCCTAAACCCCTAAGTCTCCGAGGTCGAGGACGTCTTCCGGGAGCGCGGCGTGCGGCTGCGCCTCGACGACCTGAGGGACCCGCGGAGAATTACCGAGGCAACGGTTTCTTTAAAAGAGGGTTCTATAGGGTTTTTTGGGTTCCTTGAAAGGGTTCTATATAGGGTTTAGGGGTTTTAGGGTTTAGGGGTTTTAGGGTTTAAGGGTGTAGGGTTTCAGGGTTTAGGGTTTTAGGGTTTAAGGGTGTGGGGTTTTAGGGTTTTAGGGTTTTGAGATTTACGGCATGTAGTTACTGTATAAGACTTCAGGGCCTCAGAGCTTAGGGATTGAAGTGCTTCCCGGAGAAAATCTACGAGGCATTCCTGTTTTGTATACCAGAAGGGTAGCGTGCAGCTGCGCACGCAGACATATACGTAAATAAGCGAATAGATGTATGTGTAGCAAGATAAACACATGAAGTACATCAAGTAATCTCTATGTATAAGTCTACATGTATATGTGTGTTTATATCTATTTGCATGTAGATGTAGATGTACATGTACATCTAAGATGTAGATGCATATGATCGCACATATTTGGGTCTCCTATTTTCGGAAACCTCCACATGTCGCCATCGCGAGAAACGAAGCGGGAAGGTGCCGAATGTAGGAACCTGATCAAGAAACCCTGGGCCTATAACCCTAAAATAGTAGGATTATATAAGGCACCCTTGCAAAATCCCAAGGTTTCTGAGTAAGTCTTAATCAGGTTCCTATTTAAAGGCCCAAGGTTTCTTAATTAGGTTCCTACATTAGGAAGACGATCACCTGTGCAAGCAGTGGAAAGGTATCCTGGAGTTTCTTTCGGAGCTACGTCCCAACCCGACCCCCGGTGTAAAATCCTGTAAAGATCTTCCGAATCGTTGCCCAAAACACATGTAAGACCCTGAAGTGGCTAGGTTCTCGGGCAGCCCCTAAACCTTAAACCCTGATCCCTGTCTCAGTGTAGACCTGGAGCGGTCGAGTCTTGTGCTCTCAACGTGGAATTAACGACTCGGTGCACTTTGAATAGACAGACTAAACCCTAAACCCTAACTCCTAAATCCCCTTAAAGGATCCCTTTTAAAACGCACCCTAAACAATAAACCCCTAAACTCTAACCCCTAAATCCTTTGGACCCTACTTAGAGGTTCATGTGACTAAGAGGACAGTAAGCTTATGACTACGTAGTTGGGGTTATAATCAATTATGAGTATGGTTAGGGTTTAGTCTATAACCCTAGTTACTGAGTCCCGTGGTCCTTTAAGTACCCTCAAAGGGAACCCTATTCTAGAACCCTCTAGTACACCTTATAACCCCACTTACTCAGTCCCCTGATCCTCCGAGTAACCCCTGCGCCCTAAACCCTAAACCCTAACCCCTAAACCCCTAAACCCTTAAACCCCTAAAACCCTAAACCCTAACCCCTAAACCCTAAACCCCTAAACCCTAAGCCCCGAAACCCTTAAATCCTGAAACCCGGAAACCCTAAACCCCTAAACCCTAACCCCTAAACCCTTAAATCCTGAACCCGCAAGGCCCTGAAGGCCCGACTTGGAGGGTCGGGGGATTTAGTAAGTAGGTAATAAGTAGACTTATAAGTATCCTAACAGGGATCCTAGTTGGGGTTATGATACGTATAGGTCTATAAAATAACTAACTACTTACTAAGGTCCCCCGACCCTCCAAGTAGACCCTAAACCCTAAACCCTATAGATCCCTTTAAGGAGACCTTTAAGGAACCCTTACTAGGGCCCTAAGGGCCTAAAGGCCCTAAGCCCCTGAGCCGCAGGTTCTCCGGCAGCCTCAGGAGATACTGAAGCTGCTGCCTGTGGGGCCCGGGGCGGGCGCGGTGTAATCTAGGCATCTAAGGACTCATATCTTGAGGCTTTTAAGAGGCTCCTTAAAGGGATCTATAGGGTTCCTCAAAGGGATCTATAGGGGCCTTTTACAGGGTTTTAGGGTTTTAGGGTTTTAGGGTTTAGGGTATAGCGTTTGGGGTTTCGAGTTGCTTTAAAGTAGGCTTCCTTTAACCGGATCTATAGGGTTCGGGGTATCGGGTTTTAGGGTTTAGGGGGTTTAGAGGTTTAGGGGGTTTAGGGGCTTTTATACTTGGAGGTTCATGGGACTTAGTAAGTGCAGTTATAAGTACTTTAACTGGGGTTATTACTAGTTATAATTATAGTTGCCTGAATTATAACCGTAGTTACCACCTTCCATGAACCTCTGATTAGGGTGTAGAGTTGCTTTAAAAGGGGTCTACGGGGGCTTATGGGCTTCCTATAACAGGATCTATAGGGTTTAGGGTGTAGGTCTTTTCGCGTTTAGGGTTTAGGGTTGAGGTCTTTTAGGGGCTTTGGGTTTAGGTCTTTTAGGCTTTAGGGTTTAGGACCCTTAAAAAACCCTAAACCCTAAAGCCTAAACCCTAAAGCCTAAACCCTAAACCCTAAACCTCCCTTTTCAGGGCTCCTGATGGAGTTATATGCCGTACGCCTCGTATTAGCTGTTTCTCTGAGGGTTTAGGGTTTAGGGTTTAGGGTTCGTATTAGCTGTTTCTCTGAGGTTTTGCGGACGTCTTGAGGTTCGTTTAGGTTAACCGGTTCTATAGGGCCCAATACAAGGGCTCTGTAAGGCTTTGTTTCAGGGGTTCCTTGAAGGGTTCTATAAGGCTTACCATTACTATAAAGGCGTTGCCGGGGTTTAGATTTAGGTTTGCAGTATATTATAGTTCTAGAAGCCTGAACTAGGTCTCCTGTAGGCTTTTTTGTGGGCTTGAAAAAGGGAGCAAGGTTATTGTGGATCCCCGTGAAAAAGTACCTACGCATATATTATGTATATCCTGCGGGTTCCTTGGTGATTGATTTATCATATACCCCACAATAGTTACTAGTATTATTCCTTAGGGTTGTTTGTTATGCCCGTGCTTTACACGTGCTCTAAAACCCACTCCAATTACAAGGCACTGTATTGGCAGTTTCTTTGAGGGCTTGCAGACGTCTTGGTGTTCCTTTAATGGTTCCTTTCAGTGGAAGGTACCCTGTAGAAGGGTTTTGTCACGGTTCTCTGATGGTTTTACGGGGTCTAGGGTCAATGGTGTGTTTTTAGGGTTTAGGGTTTAGGGGTTTAGGGTTCAGGGCTTAAGATATTTTGTACGGTTGTACAAGGCTTCAGAAGGTTTGTGTCAGGGGCTAAAGGTCAAAAACCTAAACCCCTCTTAAAGGTTCATGGGGAGTAGTAATTCCCGCGATCCTCCAAGTACTACTAAAAGGGTCCTCCTAAACCCTAAACCCTAAACCCTAAACCCTAAACCCTAAACCCTAAACCCTAAACCCTAAACCCTAAACCCTAAACCCTAAACCCTAAACCCTAAACCCTAAACCTTAAACCATAAACCCTAAACCCTAAACCCTAAACCCTAAACCCTAAACCCTAAACCCTAAACCCTAAACCCTAAACCCTAAACCCTAAACCCTAAACCCTAAACCCTAAACCCTAAACCCTAAACCCTAAACCCTAAACCCTAAACCCAAACTAACACTTTGAGGAACCTCAGAAAAGTAGGATTTCTGAGACTCCAAATCCCAAGGACTCTCCCTAGGACATTCAGGACCCTCCTAAGGAGATACCTGGACCCTTAGGGTAGGCCCTACCCAAAGCCGGAAGCTCTGGCTGAGGTTCTCGGAGATCGTCTTGTGTCTATTTGCCGGTTTACTTACCTTTGGTTAGTAGGGAATGGAGGAATGGGGTAAGATTATAACTACTATTACTACCATTCTTCTATTCCCTACTAACCAAAGGTAAGTTTAGAGTTTCGGAGTTTGGGGGTTTGGGGTTTAGAGATTAGGGTCTCTGCTGTCGCCTGTTTAGGGTTCAGGGTTCTGGGTTTAGGGGTTTAGGGGTTTAGGGATTTAGGGATTTAGGGTTTAGGGTTTAGGATCAAGATCGTTTCGGATTTAGGGTTTACGGGTCTGAGGTTTAGGGAGCAGCACATGATGCTCCGGATTCCGCGTTCGGCATTGCAGCTGCTTTTTGCTGGTGTTCGTCGATGGGAGCTGAACATGTAGGTCTAAACCTAGGGTCCTTGCACAGAGCCTTGCCCGGGAGTCCATGCTGCGAATAGCTGCATGTCTGAGTTTCTTGGCTGCAGAGCACCATGAGTCGTGCTCGCCGCCCCTCTTGCATCAGCTCTCAAGTGAGAGCGGGCTGGCCAGAAGCACCACCCTAAACCCCAGACCGTAAACCCTAAACCCTAGAGCCTAAAGCCTAAATGACCCCTAAACCCCAAACCGTGGAAAGCTTTCCGACTTCTTGCCCGCACATGTCACGGGTTCACGTTATTTCACAATCTCTGCTGCTTAATATAGGGGTTGGAATCGGCACTGATAGTATTCCATCATCGCACCCTAAACCTTGAAGCCGAACACCCTGAACTTTAAGCCAGGGTCAATCAACTAGCCTGCGAATTTTGAGTTACATGAGGCTAGCATAGCAATAAGGGTAGGACTTCACATAAACGCAGGGAACCTAAGCCCCACTAAACAGCTTCCCTGTGCTTCTCAGCACAGTGCTCGAAATACTAGCCCGTGCTTGAGCTACGTTTTCATACACACCGAAATCCTGTCTAATTCTTTAAGGTCCCTACATTAGCATTTAGGGTTTAGAGTTTAGGGCTTCGAAGTTGATCCAAGCTGTTTTGGATTTGGGTATGCGGGATCGGTGGGTGTAAGGTGAACAAGTTTTCTAACAGGACCTTGCTTTGCGCCCAAACTTGAGTAAGCTTGAACATGTGCGAGGCCGGAAGTAGGCCAGTTCGGCTTAACATTCCGAGCAACACCCCTTAACATCTTTACAGAACAAAATTTAAACAACACCCATTAAACTCCCTATAAAGCCCTGAGCAAACCTCTCCAAAACCCTAACCCTTCAGCCCGAACCTTAAACTGTAAACCTCTACAGAACCAACCCCTCCAAAACCCTGCGGAACCCCCCGATCCCTTATAGATCCCTTAAAGGAACCCTTAAGGATCCCCTATAGATCCCTTAAAGAAACCCTTAAGGATCCCCAAACAGGGAACCCCTATAGATCCCTTAAAGTGCGCTTGGTAGCATGGCCAGTGGCTGTAGTCGAGCGGAAGGGTGAGAGACTTGGGGCGCAACGGGTGCGGCTTCTAGGGTCATGTAGGGTTTAGGGGTGTAGGGTTTAGGTTAGAAGCTGCCCCCATCCTGTAATAGTGGTATAATAGGCATGTAATAGGGCCCTAATATAATCCTATATAATCCTTATGGTCACTATTACAGGGTGGGGGCCCCTTCTAAGGTTTAGGGATGCTAGGGTTCATGGTTTTGGGGTTTAGGGGTTGAGGGTTTAGGATTTGAATGCACTTGGCGGTTCGTGGGACATCGTCAGTAGGCTTATAAGTACCCTTTTCGGGTTTACGAGTAGTTTTAGGTGTAGTTTGTTCATAACCCTAGCTACTAAGTCTATTGATCCTTCAAGCAGGGTTGTGATTGAACGCTTGTGTACGGCCGTCAAAGGACTGCAGGGTTTTAGAAGGGTCTCAGGAGGTAGGGAGGGTCCTGGTAGAGTTTAGGGTTTAGGGTTTTAACTCGCAAGTATGCTCTCTACTAATCTTCTAGCTTACAGCAGCCCCCGAGACCATTCTTTGTCGTTTGAGGGCTTTCTGAAAACCTGCAGGGTTTAATATCGACTCCCTGGGGTGAGGTTCGGGCTTTGGAATCGGAGTTTGCGGGCAGTTTGGGCTATAGCCCCTGATTGCAACATAGGATGTTCCCTGAGGCTGTTCTGCGAACCTAAACCCTAAACCCCAAACCCCTAAACCCTAAACCCCTAAACCCTCAACCCTAAACCCTCAACCCTAAACCCTCAACCCTAAACTCTAAACCCCAAACCCCCTATTAACTCATTCGCGCTGCAGGTCTCTCGCCCTAAACGTATTCGAGATGTGTCAAAGCCTCGTCATTTGAGGAAAGCGAGCGATGACACGGGAAAAAAAAAAAAAAAAAGGATCCACTCAATCATTGAGGTTTAGGATTTAGGGATTAAAGGTTTATGGTCAAGCCGGCACTAAGGCTTAGGCTGTCGCGGTGGGGTTCGAAAGCGTCTGAAAAAAGGTTGTGCAAGGGCTGTGAGTTTACGGTCTCAATGTTCGCTTTTGGCGGGTTTGAGAAGCTGAGCTCATTGTTTCTTATCTGGCTTGTTATTATTAGACTTTTCCGGTTTGGGGTTCTTTTGTTGAAGGGTCCTGCTTTTGAAGAGCTGCCCATGACCAGCGTATGGTCAGCCGGACTATCCTCCATGGCCGTGTGCTGCAGACATGAAGTAGCTCAGCTGTGAATCCATGGAGGGTCATCCGGACTCCAAGTTTTAAGGCAGCATGTTGGCAGAGGCTCCATGTTTTTCCAGCCATGCGGAGACCTCGTCGAATATCAGCTCACGACAGAACCCTAAAGCCTGATCCGAACATGCAAATTCTTCAGACCCTCAACGGAACCTTTAAAGGAACACTGAACCTCAAACCCTCAAAGAGGAACCCCTTAAAGGAACCCTATAAACCCCTATAGAACCCCTTTTAAAGGAACGGATCCCTTGTAGATCCCTTTAAGGGAACGTAGATCCCCTAAACCATCCTAAGCCGTCTACCCTGAGGTCCCTAAACCCGAAACCCTAAACCCTAAACCCCTAAACCCTAAACCCTAAACAAACCCTAAGCCGTCTACCTTGAGATCCCTAAGAGCTGCCTCCAAGCTTCGGGAGCTCCTCGGAGAGATCCCCCCACTTCTTCCAAGGGGGACATCGCTCGGACACCATCCCCTGGTTTTGAATATAAGTTTTTTCTT